TTTGCGATCAAGAATCAATCAGTCTGTACAGACAGTACGTGCACAAGGATGCTGGTTGGTATGTGGTTCTGCTTAGGATAAAGTACTAGGAAAGACTGGCTAGCACAAACCGAGTGTCGTGGAAAGTAGACTCAAGCGCCAACTTCAGCACTTCAAAGGACAGCCGAAGTTGTTGGAAGAGTATGACTGCATGATCCGTGAATATTTTACCAAAGGTCACGCCGAATGTGTCGACACTACTGCAGAACCACGAGCGACAGTGGTATCGCCACACCACGCCTTAGTCCGCCGAGCAGCTATCACAACAAAGATCTGTGTAGTGTTCGACGCTTCTTTACACAAATGCTGCGAGTCGTCCCTCAACGATATCTCAGACAAAAAGGTCAAACTTGATTCTGAGCTCTTGCAATTCCTGGTACAGTTCAGACTGAATCCAATTATTTTGACAGCAGACATCCCGGAAGGCTTTCCTACAAATAGCCATTTGAGAAGAAGACCGTGATGCCCTCCACTTTTTATGGGTCAACCGAATCAATGACAAAGAGGAAATACCACCTTCCGTTGTCAAATGATGCATGACTCGTGTACTCTTTGGAGTGTCATCAAGCCCGTTCTTTCTGGCTGCTGCGTTACAGCATCGGCATCGATCACTGGAAGAAAATGGAGCCAGTACTAGCTATGCTTCTACAGAATGCCTTCTATGTCGACGACCTCGTCGTAGGAGCTTCCACTGATGAAAAGGCTCTCGAAAGCTACCATGCTGCATTGACTATTTTAGTATATGCAGGTATGAAGCTGAGAAAGTGGTGCTCCAATTCAAGACTTACTTACTTGTGGGCAATTCCTCAAGGACAATAAATCCATCAACAACTGGGAGAAGCCAAAAAAAGAACAAAGCTGCTCGGCTTAGTAGTGATCAGCCCCAGTGCAGTTTCTGCATACATTTCTGCGCATTCAGCCACGAAGCGCATTATTCTGCAGTCATTCGCTAGACATCACGATCTGTTAGGACTCATTGCTCCGTTCGTCATTCGAGCAAAATCATTGTTTAAGCTGTGGGGAGTGAACTCTCCATGGCACGATCCATTCAGACGCAGTGGGGAAGTTGGGCTTCTAATTTTCCAACGCTCTCCTCGCTGAACATCCCACTCTGCAACTGAACTGCACTTGCTCTGCGATGCAAGCCCACTGGCATACGGCGTTTGTGTCTACACACGTTACAAGACCGAAGGGAAAACGTTCAATGCTAAGCTGCTCATGAGCAAAAGCACGGTCGCACCGCTCAAGACAACTTACGCTGCCATGTGGGTTGCTTGCATGCGTGTTGCTGCCAGGCTGTGGAACTACTTACGAGAAATTGCAGAAACAGCCAACTGCCAGAGTTTTTTCTGGAGCAACTCGTCGATAGCCATCCAGTGGATTGTGGCTGATGCTAAACAATCGGAGATTTTCATGAGAAACCGTGCTCTTGAAATACAATGGCTCACTTCTGGGTATTTTTGGAGGCACTGTGCAGGCAACGACAATTTGGTGGATTTGCTCACGCATGGAGTTTCAGCTGAGGTATTGATGCACAAGACACTGTGGTGGACTGGTCCTTTGTGGTTGTCTCAGTGTGATGGTTAAGGACGTTCGTCACTATGTTTGTTTATAGCGGTCGAGAAAGGATTATTATGAGCAATTTAAGCGAACAGAAGAAGCTTTATATTGTACACTAGAGAAGGAAGTGATAGGAGAAAATAAAACTATATATTCAACCCTATACGCCAAGCATCACGCAACATGCACGAGAGTCAGACCGCAATTGATATGCGCAGAGTTCGCGGCTACGCTAACTCAGTGTCCAGCGCGTATAGTTCTCGGTTCGTAAGAAGAAACCGCTGTCTCACAGTATGAGTCCGCGTCGTCCCGACATGATGCGGTCGTCAACGTGCGTGAGGGCAAAGGTGGCACGGCTGGAACGGCTGACGGCACACGGATGCGCTACCGTGTGCAGCGCCGTTGAGTCGGACGTCGCGGCCAACCCAGCAGTCAGGGTCGCAACTCCTGAGGTCCAGGATCAGGCCACGGCTCACGAGGACCACACCCGGTAGGCCTCGCCCACGAACCTGCTCCCGCCCACTGCACCCAGGCAGGAGCCGTTCGGCAGGCCCCGTCCTTGGACCTTGTACAGGCCGACGGACTCGACCTTGTACAGGCCGACGGACTCGACCTTGAACAGACACACCGGAGCTCGACCTGGCCGACACGTACGGGTCCCACGTCCGGCTCAGGAACGCTGCCAGGAACTCGTCCTCTCGAGCAGCGCACCGCTTTGTCTGCCTTCGTGGCCTCAACCCTCGATTCAGCCAGCAACTCCTCTGGCACCTGGATCCTCGGCCACCCTGAACCTCGCCCGTACACTGGCCCGCGTCTTGCCCGGCAGAACGCCTCACTTGTCCCTTGCCGATGTGCGACGCTCTGGTGACACCGGCGCTTGATGGCATGGGTGCGGCTACGGAGCAGTCAACCCGCATCGGAGACGCGATGCTCCATGCGTATAATGGGCCAGCCCGTCCAGCGAACAGCTTGCGTCGAGACGCGATGCTCGGCGCAACGGTGACCATTAGCCAGGCCACGTACGTTGCTGTGCCGAACGTCTGACCATGGAGACGCCTCGCCGAGATCCGCAATGCCCTCGGCAAGGAAGAGAACAGCAGGCCAGGCTGCGCCCCGAGATGCAGTACTCGTGCCGCCAATGCCGCCCCAGCTGGTAGTTGGACGACAGTAGCGTGGACAGCCGCGTTCCCTGGCCGGAACCTGGATCGCCTGCGTCCGACGCTTCGGCCCGCTGTCTTCCGTCTCTCGCTGCTTCGGCTCGTCCCCAGCCACAAAGCCTACCGCCACGTAATGGTCACACGTGGCCCAATCGTGGCACGCCACCTCTATGGGCCATGACTGGTCATCAGCTGATTGGAGCACAGTTGCCTCGTAATCGAACGTGCCTTGTCCCGCACGTTCCTTGTTCTTCTCCTCTTCTTCTTCATTTCTTGTTGTCGCCTTCGTGCCACCTGCCCTCCGCTCGTCTTCTTCAGTTCTGGTTTGACGTTCCTCGGCGTCTTTAAGTCCTTTCCTTACACTCAGTATCATTCTCAATGGCCTTCAAAGATTTTGTTCACTACTTCAACAGATACTACTCCTAGGGAGACCGCTGAAATGACAGCATGCCCCACCTTTGTGGTTGTTTCAGTATCATTCTCAATGGCCTTCAAAGATTTTGTTCACTACTTTAACAGATACTACTTTTAGAAAGACCACTGAAATGACAGCATGCCCCACCGCCGTCATGATGCCGTCTACGCGCCCCTGTGAGGTTCTGTTCAAAGTTTCAAACTTTTGAACGTCTTTCCCGATTACTTTGAATTACTGATTGGATCATCAGATTCTGCCAGAATGCCTCTTCAACAGTACCACTGATGGCTTCAGAGTTGAACAAGGCAGAGATGTATTGAATGAAGTCTGTCCAACACACTGAATTTGCAAGTAAAATTATGGCCTTGAGGAAAGGACTAAGAGTTCCAAAGTCATCCAGTGTACCGTTCTTTTTACAACTGTTTCTCGACCGGCACCAACCAGTTTGTGCAGGAGGCAGGCTTCAGTAGCTTGACAACAGAGGAGATCCGAGGCATCTATTTTGCTTCCTGCTGACCACCGATTCACCCATCTCTTGGTTGACGCAGCGCTCAGACTACTGCTGCACGGTGGAACACCCTCGTAGACCCTTGGGAGCACTTTTGGGTAATAAAGGGGTGCCTTATAGGGAAAAAGCGTTCTAAAAGCATGCTTACCATGCTGGCGACACTGCCTACTTCCAAAATCTGCTTCGGTAGCACTCCTGCCAAAGGAAAGAATTAGTGAGGCAACACCGTTTAAAGTGATGGAAATTTATTTTTATGGGCCACTGTATTGCCCTGATGAATTAGCCCCATCAAGAAAGGTGTACATCATGGTGTTTTCTTGCGCAGTAACCAAGGCAGTACACCTGGAAACGACAACCGATTTGACAGCATGAGCATTTATACTCACTTTCGAAAGTTTTGCAGCATTATGTGGAATACCTGGGATCATATACGAAGGTCTAACGCGAAAGCCTTTCATTGCAGTGCCAAGCATCTGTGCTCGCTCTTCGAAGATGATATTCAGAACTATGCCAGTGCTCACAGAATCCAATGGCGTTTCATAGTCGAATGTGCGCCGTGGTAAGACGGTTTTTCGGAACGCATCATTCATTATAAAGGAAGCACTGAAGCGTTGCCTTGGACGCAGCAGCTTGTGTTACAACGAGCTGCTCACTATACGAGCAGAAGTTCAAGTGGCAGTTAACTGTCATCCGCTCACGTACTTAAAGGATCACATCACATCAACAGAAGCTCTGACACCATCCCACTTCTTAGTTGGCGAGCGTCTGGTCACTTTGCCTACAAACAGAAAATCCTTCTCCTCAATGCTGCTGTGTCCGACCTTCGATAAAAAGCGCGCACCAAGAACAGCTACTTCAGAACTTGTGGAAGTGGTGGAAAAAGGAAGATCTTCTGTTTCTGCCTGCTGCTTACCACAGCAAGACGATGCCGTTATCTAAAGTAGAGCCTGATAATCTCATCTTGTTAGAAGATTTAAATACTCCACCACTAATATGGAAGACGGGTCGAGTCGTTAAAGCATTTTCGGGTAAAGACGGCACAGTACGTTCCTTCCAGATGTGGCTGTCTGAATGTCAGCAAGTCCAACGTCCTGCACAGCAACTCTACCTCCTAGAGGCGCACTCATACAACATGGCCGCGAGAGTGTGATAAAAGCTGAATAGGACGTTGCGGCGCAGTGTGTGTGCGACGCGTGCTTTGGACAAGAAAAAAGAAGTTGCGTTCCATCAATAAACCGTGTACGAGGGCACGTCAGTCTCTCTGTCTTCACATGGTTTGAAAAGTGGCCATAAAGTTTTAGACATTGAGAAATAACAAGAAACTGAAAAACAGCATTTGTTTTATTCTTTGCCAGAGAGTGAGAGAAAGAAAAGAGCTGTCCTACTGGTAAAAACATCTGGGCACTTTCTTTTCACAGCGTCTTCCATCATTGCTGAAAGCCTCGCATTTATAAATAAGTATTATCTGTATAAATGTATGTACATGAGTTAGCTTGCTCGATACATAAAAGGCTGCCACGGCATGCTCCAGAAGAAGGACGTCCTTGATCAGAAGCTGTACCTGTTCAGCTCTTGCAGTTGGGCATGCAGCTGTTCTTCTTTCACTCGCCTAACGTGACCCAACTAAAAAAAAAAAAAAAAATCATGCATCACATCACTGCCTTGATTTCAACGTAAAAATATTTGACACAAATCAGTCTGGTTGGGCAAAATAAGAATAAAACGAATTCTCCACCCACATTTAGTCTTTAGTTTTTATATTTACAAGAGAGTCACAATTTCGCCAAAAGAACAAAGCAAGGTTTTTTAAGGAACAATATTACTGTGCTTGCTAAGTAACTCTTTCTGTGGCACGGCCACAGTAGATGACCACAAGAAGGCTCGTGCACAGAAACAACGTTGATGAGAAGCGCCTCCCGTGGGCAGCGCATGCTGGTTTCCCTCTCTACCATTATTCTCACCACAATAACTACAGTCGAATCTCATTAATTTGAACACGCTTAATTCAAAATTGGTTAATTCGAATGCACGATGAGGTCCCGTCAAAGCTATGTGTATTCCAATGGGCGAAAACCCCGGTAATTTAAATACACAAGAACTTGCCACGGTTAATTCGAATATACCGCTCTCCGAAAATGCTCTCAGCACCCCACCTAATCCCACGACGCCACCTCCGACACCTCAACGCTGCGCGCTAAGGAAAGGAAATAGAAAGAAAAGGCTGCGGTGGAATGTTCGCGCTCTCTCAAATGCCGATCTGCGATGCGCCTGTGCCTCGCTTCTCCCTTTTCTGCCCCTGCCAAGTAAAGACATTTTTCCTTCCATCACCACATGCAAAGAGACAGAGGGAAAAAAAAAAAAGCTGTCACGGAGTGTGGCTCTCTTTCGCGTGCCGGTGCCATGCTTCCCCCTTTCCCGTCCCTGCCACGTAACCCTTCTCCTTGTATGACAAGAGCAAAAAAAAAAAAAAAAGCCGATCTGCTTTTCTCCGCGTGGAGACGCTCCACCTTTCTCGTCACGTGCTGGCCACGCTGCTGCTTTGGCCCAGAGGGTAGTAGCGGAGATGCAGTTGTTGTCATCTTTAGAGAGAGTTGGCGCTGGACATTGCCACGCGCAACTTCTCTTGCCAGGAGAATGCTGACGCCGAAGCAGACATGCTTTGCAAGCTGTGTGCTAAGGATTGACTCGCTGCAAGGCAAACGTGTGCAGACGCGCATCACCGATTACTTCAATTAGTGACGGATGTCCTGTGACTAGTGAATAAATGTAACTCTTCTGAAACTTCCCCCTCGTGTGTTAGCTGCATAGGGAGCTCTCCGTTTACTTAGCTTTCATTAATTTGAACTTCTTTTAATTCGAATAAATATTCGGTCCCCTTCAAGTTCAAATTATCGAGATTCGACAGTACCATCATATTGTGCTAACTTTTAAGCCAGCCGAATAGTCACCTCCTGAAAAAAGAAACCGAACGAATCACGAAATCTAAACACGTTTTGAAATATAAAAACCAAAGACAAATTGGGGATGGAGAACCTGTTTTTTTTCTTATTACTGCCTTGGCACAATTTCCACAATGTCCTCAGTGAAACATACTGCACTTGAATAATGCTGATGCAACGAGAAAACTGCATGTCTGTCACATAAGCCAATCCGGGCACAAAGGAATAAATGAATAAAACAGAATTGATTCTTGGTGGAATTCAGTTTCAACATGCTCCGAAGGCTGGGCTACGCCCATTGTAGAATGTGAATACTGAATATGAATGTGTTGTACCCACAGTACAAAACAAGTCCACTACAAGAAAGTTGCGAGCGGACAATCGGCGACATATTCTGTATACACCATAAAATAACAATCACAGTATTTTTCAGGACAGATTTACCAACACAAAGACAGCAAGCAAACGCAACAAAGTCAGAGAAGCTATGGCAGCTTACATAATCATTTATGCAGAAGCAGCAAGCCCACAAAATAAGCACGAAATATAAACAAAAGATATTCCAGGATTACTGTATCTCATGCAAACATTCCAATCTCTTTCTCTGGAATAACGCACATTAGCAGCACATAAGAAAGCAAATGCGCCAATATATTTAGGGCAGTCATGGTAGTGGGGTTTCCCATTAAAAAACTAAACAGAAATATCACAATGGTTGCTTTTCTCTACCAGCTAAAACTACTTCGCGAAAATCAGTGGCTGTCAATAGGTCCAAAGGTACTCACCGTTCTTACTTCCATAAATTTTGCAAGGAACTGGTTAGTGCTTAGTTTACCTGGAAAGGGACAACTGCATTGTATACAAGTCCGTGCACACATGCATGAAAGTTAAAGAATTCCCAATACTCTGCAATATAGAACTAGATGAGTGCGTCGCAGTTCATCTCAATCAAGCAAAAAGGTTGAAAATTGTTACCTATTATGCTTACGGTGAAAGAGGTTTTTTAGACATAAGATGCTTCATAATTTAAGTTAGGCAGATGAAAACAGACAACATTACATGTTTTTATGCACTCATATTCAATATGAGCTCAGTTATGTAAACCATATCATTATTTTTAGATTATTCATAAAAACTTCACATCATTGCAATATTAAAGAACTAGTTGCATAGACCCTGCTGAATCAAAAATCTTCCTGAAACAAAAGTGACCAAGGTTGGTTGTTGTCATTAAAGAGGCTGAGGAAAAGCATTTTCTTATACTGCCCTGTAAAAAATGTGTACTTTTCTAAAGAAATGTATGGCAACCTATTAGCTGAGTGTATTGTTAAGGAATACAAAATTGATATCTGGGGTTTTACGTCCCAAAATAACGATGCAATCATGAAAGACGCTGAAGTGAAGCGTTCAGGAAATTTTGACCGTCTGGTGTTCTTTAAAGGGCCAGTAAACAGCCCTGAGGTTCAAAAATTTTTAAAAAGAGATAAATGTGCAGTTTTTTTTTGCGAACATGCTGCCGCAACAGTTTTGCGAATACATGCTACATTAAAGGAAGTATAGGGGTTAGCACATCAAGCTAAGCTGGTTTCAAATTTTCGTGTGGCCTTGCCCCCTTCTCCCTTCCATGAAGGGGAAGGCATAGCCCATCGACGTGCTATAATGTTACGAGTAACTTGTTTAATGATCTATTTACAGCGCACAGAACTCGACAAGCAACATGGCGCCAGACCAGCATCAAACGAAAACCCACTTTGCCCTCCTCTTTCATGCAGCCGTGTTTAGCTGCTGTTATGTATCATAACCCCCGGCGGTCGAAGCACCGTCCCGGTGTTAAATTTACGCAGATGATGTCGAAGGGGGGTAATAGGGCTTTGGCCGAGCCACGTGAACGGTGTCGCTCGGAGCTGACGATGACTTTGTTGGATCGGTTGGAACAATCTCGTACGTGACGCCTGTCACTTGGCGAACGATACGGAATGATCCCGTGTAGGGCGACAACAGTTTTTCAGACAGTCCCACACGCCGAGTAGGTGACCAGAGGAGCACGAGAGAACTCGGAGAAAAGTGCACATCCCTATGGTGAGAATTGTAGAGCTGTTGTTGGCGCGCCTGTGAAGCCTGTAGACGGTTACGGGCGACTTGGCGCGCGTGGTCGGCACGGGCAATGGCTTCCCCAGCATATTCAGTGGCCGCAGGTAGTAAAGTGTCTAAGGGTAGAGTTGGGTCCCGGCCATATAGTAGATAGAAGGGCGAATAGCCGGCTGTGTTGTGACGAGATGAATTGTAGACGAACATCACATACGGCAAATGAATGTCCCAATCATGGTGGTCTGGCGCAACGTATTTGGCAAGCATATCGGTTAGGGTCCTGTTAAGGCGCTCTGTGAGGCCATTTGACTGAGGATGGTACGAAGTAGTAAATTTGTGCTTGGTATGGCAAGACCTCAGGATTTCATGAACGACAGCTGATAAAAACGTGCGGCCTAGTTTTCTGGTCGGAGGTGCTGCGAATAGGTTGGGGAGGCAGCACGGCGTTGTGGGGTTGACCGGGACTGACGACGAGCAGGGGACGGTGACCGGTCGTAGCGAGGTCTGCTCAGAGGTGCTGTAGGAGCGGAAAATGAGGTCGGCGTTGATGGAGAAAGTGGTGGGGACGACTGGCGAGCAGAAGTGGTGTGATACTGAGGTGCATAATGGGACGGTGGAGCCCAGCGGCTGCGGCAGTGACGAGCGATATGACCAACGCGTCGACAGTTAAAACATATGGGCCTGTCATCAAGAGTACGCCATTCAGACGGATTGCGTTGTATGCGAGGTGCAGAAGGGGTAGGATAAGAAGGCTCAGCAGAGTATACGGTAGGAACAGGATGTAGGCCGACATTCGATAGCTCTTGACGAACGACCGCTTGTATTAAAGAGATCGTGGTCGGGGAAGGCGCAGGCGTCGGTAATGGCATGGCTACCGGTTGTGCTGCCTCGACCTCTCGACGAATGATGCGTGTAAGGTTGTCACATCGAGGTGCATGGTGGAAGGCGTCGTCACACGAAGAAGTGGCCGCTGTATTCGGAAGGCGCACGATGCTTTGGAAGTTATAGGGATTAGCACATCGGGCTAAGCTGGTTTCAAGTTTTCGCGTGGCCTCGCCCCCTTCTTCCTTCCATGAAGGGGAAGGCGTAGCCCATCGTCGTGACTCTGCCCACTTCGGCAACATGACACCACGTCAGCGATTGACGTCATCGGCGAACTCGATCAGTCACAACGCACTCCTGCTTGCTGCGAAGCGTGGTTGTTTCTTTACCATTTGCTGCACCAGCCGTGCGTCAACCGTGTAAGCGTCAGGTACAATGTGTCGACCACAAACGATCAGGTCCCCGACGTACGTCGCTGGATGGCCGATTCGCTTTAGCTATGCAGCACACAGGGCTCCATTGTGAGGCACCTGGTGCCAATGCTTCTCCGTTGCCCAGTTGCTCGATTTGCAGCTGACGACAGAGCAACGCTTTTTACCCGTGTTGCTCATGTCAAGGGCGAACTACGTTTGTATGCGCACACATGCGCTGTAGTAGAGCGAGGAGTGTACACGTGCACGCGACAACTGCAAGGCTGGTTCTTTCACCACAAAGCCAAGAAACAAGGGGCAGTTTCGTAGCTGTGGGTGGGAGCAGGAACCGACGTTGACTTCACTACTGTTTTTTCACACTTGATTTAGACCAATCGGCGAGCTGCACGCTACATCAGGTCGCCGATCGCCGAGTTGACGTCACTGCGCATGCAAAGGGGTCCGTCGGGCGTAGGAAAAATGCGCGGGAATTGTTTTTCGAAATAGAGGCTCTGCGCGGCACGCAGCGCTGTAATATACAGAAAAAAGGATTGCTGCGGTCTAATCTACGAATTGACGAGCTTGTATGGGGGGTGTAAAGTCGGAGCCTGTCTACTGGCCTTTTAACGTGCGCCGACATCTCATAGAACACGGACCCCTACCATTTGGCCTCTATCAAAGTACGACTGCCGCAGCCGGGATCAAACCTGCGACCTTCTGGTCAACAGCCAAGCACCCAAACCAAATGAGCCAAAACTGAGCAGGGGTAGAAGTGGACTTTATTGGAGCAGCTCAGCTTTCTAGGGTTAAACATAATCATTAATTAAAATTATTTCTCGTAATCCAATGGGTTTCACTAAACATTCAGTAGTTGAGCTGACTGACCAATAAATGTGTGTGCATGCATATGTTTGTTCCCATCAATAAACCTCACAGCTGACAGAGAAATAATCTCTGCGTGACCCGGATGCCGGCATAGTTTAAAAATGCTTTGTGGCTTGCGATTGCACGCCATCGGACGACCGCACTAAAAAGCCAATTCAGTTCCTTTTCCGCTCTCTGGTAAAAATAAAGAAAAGACTTTCTGGTGGATACTTCGGGCATCGGCTGCTGTGGTACTGTGTTTTTCTTGGTGGTGATAGCGCACTAGGAGACGTATAAATTTGTGCTCAACGGTAAATTCGCAATGCCGTTTAGTGCATAATCATGTCATGTTCCATCGCTGAGACAGGCACTTGCAAGCCCTATGAATGAACCGAATCACAACGTGATCCAACTACACCAGAGAACGATATGGATACAACCGCATTCTTTATGGAGCCAACGCTCACTGTTGCTCGGTCGATGATAATAATAGGCGAGATTTGGCGGTTTACACTTCCAATCGACAATTATGGCAGAAATTGCAGTTTATATGCAGCAGTTTAGATTGGCCCAGAATGGCGCAGTTCAGGGTGGCGCAGCACGTTCATCCCTGACTGAGAAAAGCTTCTCAGGAGATCATAAGGTTTAGGAAAAAGGGAACATGCCATTGAGTGCTGGTTGTATATGAAAGGCACTATGCATGAAAATTGTTTTTAGTTACCCCTCTAGTGTCTGAGCTGTGTCTAGAAAGACACAGCTCAACTTTGCAGCTCCTGTGTTTGAAAAATGCATTAATAAAAAAAGTGATGCTACTGAGAACCTCTGATTCGGAGCACTTGTTGAAGCAACAAAAGTTGCCATATTGGTGCGTTTTAAGAGCAGGTGATTTTGCATTAGCGAGAAACTCATTCTGGCATACACTGGAGAAGGAAGTTTCATTTACATCCTGACACCTATTATTATCAACTATTGTGATTACCTATATAAACATTGCAATTCATTCTAAATATCATGAATATGCTCTCTAAAGCCCTGATTATTTCAGTCAATCATTCAAGAACATAAGGGGGTCATGCAAATGTATGTTGTAAAACAACCACCAGAGCAACATTTTTTTTAATGCATCAAAATCGACACAATATCGCATCAATAAAATTCTAAATCTTGAAACACTCGAATACAACTACGTGGTCATCAAAGTACTGGGAGAAGAACAAGAAAACTTTGTGAGGAAAATGACCTTTCTATGAGTATGCGTAAAAGTACAAGGATCCTACCCCAATTTTACAATCTTGATGTTACTACAGTAGGATCTTGATGATACTGTCACGGCTAAAAGCCGGGCAAGAGGACGACGAAGTGATGAGCGTAGGCAGCACCCACGGTTGCTCCGAGAAAGACGACGTCGAAGTGGCTGCTCCTTTATTCTGTCAATACAGACCTTGTTTTTCCTGGTCGCACCCGCATCCTGTATCCTGCTACTTTCACGCCGCGACATTGGTGGAGGTGCTGGACTTCTCCAACTGATGCTTGGGACACCTCCGCGCCCTGACACATCGAGTCCGCCACCACAACCTGTTCCTGCAGTGGATACTCCTGTCCACCGCTACAGTCGCCGACAGGGAGGCCTTAGTCTCGAGGCAATCCCCCT